TAATAAATTACAAGAGAGTTATAAGGAGTATTTAGCCTCCGAACTATATACTGTAAGTAGTAGTTTTAATATCGCGATATTTATAAAAAAGACTCTTAATAATAAGTTATACTTAATTCGCTAATAATACTTAAAGTTTATACTAACTCTAAGTCACTTTATAATTACGTAATAAAACTTAGTATAATAAAGGAAAACGCCTTATAGTAGATCTAATAGTAATTCGAGAAGCCTTTAAAAGAAAGGAGATCGATAACTTTCTATAGATTCGAGGACCTAATAACCCTACTAATATAATAACTAAGTTAAAGTATAATAATACCTTAAAACTACTTATTAATTCAAATAGAATATAGTATAAGCCTAATAAATAGGTAGAAAGAGTAGCTAAGGAAACAAAAAAGGCTAAAGAAAGGGTAGAATAGTAAGTTTCCTTTACTATTTAAACTACTTTATACTATTCTTATTATCTTTTATATAGTACTAGTATTAGTACGTTTAGGTCCTAGGGTAGAAAGGAGGGTAATTATATAAGACTATCTTAGATAGTATAGTATATACTTAGATATATTAGCTATAATACTATACTCTCTTAGATAATATATATAATATAACGAAATAAAGTTATACTATATTCTATTACTTCGCTAGTAATACTAATAATTAGTTTTAGAAGTAGTTTAATTATTACAGTATTATTAAGATAGTTAGAGTTCTATTTACTATAATACTAGGAGTCTAACTTTAAAGATATGGTTTTTAATACTTTAAGTTAAAGTATCTAGATTAGAGATACTTTAAATAATTTATCTAATTATAAGACTCGGTACTATTTATACTAGGTCTTTCTCGAAGTCTCCCTATATAGGTTACTAGAAATAAGTAGATTTTTAAAGTAACGTGGTTTATCAGCGAGTCGATCATATCACCGAGTCGATCACTTTTTCTTGGCACAGAACTTTACACCTAAATAAATCAACCACAATATATTAAATTAATTATCGCTCTCTATATCTGACGAACTAGATATATCTATAACTTCTTGACAAGTTCGCGCGTTATGACCAGCTTTTCCACAAGTTCTACAGCGCCGCCTAGAAGGTTGCCCCTCCTTATAACCAACCCCCGCCTCACGCATGTCGCGTCGTACTTGCTCATCTACATCCTCCTGAGCTAACATATCCTGTACATCCTCTACTATAAGTGCCCCTCCTTGGCGGACACGAGTCTTTTTAGCCCTACGGCGTTTACTTAGGGCTTCATTTGCAGCGCGAAGGGTACGGACCTCAGCAGACAAAAGGGTCATCTCATGTGCCATTCGCTCTGTACCCTTTGCTAACGCAGCAACTGTTTGAAAAAGTGGAGTTGGCGAGCTTCCTTGATGACAGGCTATACGATTTCGTACAAGAGTTGATTGTGAAAGGGCTTCAGTTGGGTTGGAAGGGGTCTGGGACACCCAGGGGAGGGAGTTGGCACTACACGTCCGAGGGGGAGTTGGAGTCCGTAACCTTACGTCAAGCTTTGAAAGCACTGCTTGCGGGTTAAATGGTACTAGGCCAGCTCCGCGGAATCCAGACTGACAGTTTAGGACTGTCATTGTTTCCTTGTATGCTGCTGTAAAGGCTAGAAAGAACTCAACCTTTGTAATATGGTTGATATGGGCCTTGATAAACGTCTCAATCTGCCGACCATACGCTCGTTTTAACACACTATAGCACCCAACATCAAGTGGCTGGGTTAGATGGGATGAATGAGGAGGTAGTCCAAGAGTAATAATGTTGTGTTTCGTACAGTAGTCTTGGAACTCAGCCGATTCATGACTCTCGTGCCCATCCAAAACTAGTATTCGATACAGACCCTTTGCACGAGCTGTAGTGTGTTTATCAAAGTGCTTTAACCATTCCAGGCCTGTTTCATTATTTGTCCAACCATTGCTTGTCGGTTTAATAACCCAGTTAGGTGGGAGGCCGCCGTCGGTATACCAGTTGGAGAGATGGTTCTTGCCCTGAACTACCAAGAATGGAGGAATACTCCAGCCCTCCCCATTAATACAGGCAATTGCTGTAGCCCATTCCCGATTGCCTGGCTGAACTGCCTTGCCTCTACCACGTCGGTCTGCACGAGTAACAACCATTCTAGGACAAATAACACCCATCATAAAGCCTGTCTCGTCGAAGTTGTAGAAGTCGGAGTCTGTAACCCCATATTTCGCCCTCATATTCTCTACTAGCCGGAACCATGCGCCTAGCACGTCAGGATCTTCGCATAAGGCCCTCTGGAAGTCGTAAACGCGATTAAAACGCGTCTTAAGGTCTGGTTGTCGTTGTACGAATCGATGGGCCCAGAGCTTGCCGACGCGTCTTCCCCCCCGCGATTCAAGGATAAAATTAGCCATATCTTCTACACCAGCGAGCCGGGGCGCAAATCCTCTGGAATCCATATCCAGTATATACCGAATAATCACTTCCTCTTCTAACTCAGTCAACTTATGACAATTGGCTTGAGAATCTGGGCGGTAGGTTCGGCCAGCCATTCTGTCGGAAAGAGTCGTATATGGTACATTGTAGATCTTTGCCGCAGAGCGTTTGCTTAGTTTTTTGGACGACCGAATAGCCTCGATAGCTAGAGTAATTCGCGCTTCTTGAGTTTGAATTTCCATGGTAAATAGTTGAAGAAAACGTGTGTTGAAGTTTGAGGAGGTAGTGCCAAGGAAAAGTGATCGACTCGGTGATATGATCGACTCGCTGATAAACCACGTTATAAAATAAAGTTATATTAGTTAGAGCGAACTTATCGGAGCCCGGTGGTTTTACGTTCTAAAACTATAACTAATACCTAACAAAACTAACCCTGCGACATCAACCCCTCTCTTACGTGGGGTGTTGAATGAACTCTTCGAGAGCACGGTAGTGCCCTGCGCTTAAGACTTGGAAGCGAATGGACGGTTAAAGCAGGACACTGTCACGTAAATCGTTATATGGGGAAAATGTATAACGCCCAGATCTGAGTGTCGGATTCTCTGGTTTCGCTCAGAATCGGCACATGAGATACTCCGTAGATAGGCCCGGGGTTTAATCCGACGTGTCTAACCTGGGCACTTCCACTGGACAAAAGTCCAAATCTAACGTTCCAACCTAACGGTAACTAACGTACTTTGTATATCTCGTGTAATCTTTGCAAAGGGATTTACCGTGTAAACTTTTCAGTGGGATTTACCCTGTCGCTAACGTTAGACACCTAAGAAACGTCTTGATTTATTATACTTCGTCCTAGGCGAAATAATTATAGGTTTGCTAGGGTGGGTAAGGTTGGTAACAGCGTAACAACCCCTGAAAAACCTACAATTGTCTCGCCTACGACGAAGTAGTATACCCTAAATCAAGTATACACCCGACCAAGTATACCTCCGAAAAGACATAAAATCCTCTTACATCCCATCTTCCTTTTGTCTAAACTAATCCACCAAAAACTTCACCCTTACAAACCATTCCATCTAGCAAAGAGAAACCACTATTAGGATGAAATTTACACTCGTCTTCTCATTTGCCCTCTTTTCTTTGGCGGCGGCACAAGGGAATGACCCATACACTCCCAAAATTGTTACATGTGTTCCGGATCCTAGCCTCTGTACGAACTGCCCAAATGTAAGTACCGCCATATGATGTTAGAACAACTACTAAAACATATCTTTTAGGGTGTTTCCATAGCATCATGCAACGTAGGCACTGATAAACTGGTTTGCATATGCAAGTAGAGATACGGCTCCACGGGGACAGACTTTTGTAGCGACCCCTCATATAAATGGGGAATTGTCGTCTGGACCTTGGGCAAAATTTTATGATAACGCTGTATTTAATACCTGTAAGAAATTATCTCGAATGTCAAAATCAATACTAGGACATATAACATGAGGTTTTCCTGGGACGGTGGTTATTAGAGACATATCGTGATTTACATAAAATACATACTTGTATATTATTGTTGCCTATTACTTCACATGTCTTTTACCAACTCCTGTTGTCTTACTATGATCGTGTTTCTTTTCACTAGACATAGCCCTCTCACTGCCAAGTTCACTACTCCTCCCATTATCGGCGTATCCCTCATCGGATGTTTAGATATTGCTATTAATTCATTCTTCTCCCTTTCGCCAGAAGTTCATCTTCATCTTATGTACCATCTCAATCAAAACTAGCACGAGTATCTTGCAGATTGAGCCACCCCTAAATGACATACCAACAGACATATTGAGATTTTGATTCCTAATCCCAACTGTTAATGCTACTGCTGTTTTGAATGCTTACATTCCAGAAGTGGGAAGACAGTTTGTGAGATCCTACAGCAAAACACTCAACTGGACGTCTACAACGAAGGCTTTAGTGGGGATATAGCCCCTCCTTCGTTCTCTTCGTTACCGCTTTAAAACTGTTTAACAGTGTTAGAAATCAATGAACATTTAATTCCACAGGAATCTAGTTTGTCACTTGCATTTGATGTATGGGCGCTGGGACCAGTTTACTTGCACATTCTAAGACCTTTTGTTGGCGATACAAACGGCAGAAATGACCAAGCTCACTTTTTTAATCATACTCCGCCTCGCTGACCTCTACGGTACGTCATCTTATTTTAATCGTTCTGGAGTGTTCTTTCCACTCGAAGGACACTTCAAACCTCTCTCTGAGCAGTGAGAACCAGTGACTTTTATTCCGAGAGACCCTCACCATTCAGTCTTTCTACTTGACGATCTTTGACCTGTTCGTGGATGCACTCAAGTCACTGTCCTGAATTAAGGCATCGCGACACTACATTTGTTCAGTGACGGAAGGGTTTTACCAGAAGGGCACTCTCAGTATTATCATTCTCCCGTCGTGAGACTCTGTAAGCACAATTGTATCTCTTGACGACTTCCTCCCTGACCTCTCCAAGGTTTTCAGATTTTGCGTTTGCAAAAACCCCACAAACAGCTCGCATTCGAAATGACGACTATTTCCACAACAATAATGTGTGATCTTACCACAAGCCCCCGCCTCATCCGCTGTGCCTATAGAATAAAGAAGGTCCTGCGCAAAAACACGGAATTAGCGGAAGAAATCGATGCTTCGAGCAGACATCTCATTTCGCAAATCACGAAATCGATACAATGCCCCATGTTTGGTAGTCCTGACCCGCCAGCCTCGAAGAAGGAGCTAGATGAAGAGCTGAAGTTTCTCGCGACTTGAATACTATTGGTGCCTGTCGCGGACTGGCCACCTCCTCTTCGAGCAACTCCAGAACCTTCTCAACTCTCAGTTGAGTTTAGAAGTGAGCTCAAAGAGCTTATCGAGGATTTGGTCACGAACTCCATCAAGAAGATCTTGCCTAATCAACTCTCAGAAGCTCTTGATTCTATTATCTCGCCAAACTCCTTACGCGATAGTCAACTCCAAAATGCTCTAGTTCTTCACACCTCCAGAATCTTCGTGCTCCAAATGCACCAGATGCTCCAGATGCTCCACAGTACTACTCGCAACCAACTGCTTCGACTGTTGCTATCCCTTCTGGATCTACCAACAACGCACGTATCTCTCAAAGCTGGTGGTAACATACCACGACCCTCATCAACCTATTCTTCACGTCTCTTTGTAGTCATCTTCAAAACAGCAAAACTCTTGGCATAGTGCGCAGCTACTCCTTACAACCGCCTATTATCGCTCTTTCCCTTAAGTCAAAAAAATCTTTACTCAGTAGGGACGCCATGGGAACGTCGGATAAGGTGGTGAATGCAAAAGGACCATTGGTCTGACGTTGAACCTTTGGTGTTGTGAGATATGTTGGTGTTAGCAACGAGCTCATGGAAATTTCCAGACAAGAAATCATATCACAATACCTCAAGTCTCCCAAGGTAATAACAAAGAACCAACTCATATCTCCCCAAATCCTCAGCTCCATACTATCATCCACACAGCTATCCGTTTCCCAACCCAGAGCATCAACTCCAACATTAATACCCTCTTTCTTTCACACATACAACGAGAATCTTAATATTCCCTCGCATTAGACCTTCCTCCTTCCTCTTATGGCGAAACATGGAATATAGTAGTCGAGACTCGAGCGTATATTGTAGTTCTCATCCCATCCTTAGACCTCTGTAGCTGGACCTGAAGCTGAAGCTCAAAATGGATGCCATATTGATTAAGGTTAGGGTTATGTGTATCTCCTGCGAGCGATTCAAGGTCTTTAGGAGGCAGGTAAGATACATGGAGATGTTGCTTTTTCTACGCCTGTAGGTCAGGGATCTATAATATTAGCGGTAGTCGCCGGTAGAAGAATCATCCACCCACCCATCCCTTCCCCTCCCTTCCATCCCCAGATCCCCATTTCACCAACCAGACACCGAAAACTCACAAATCACAAATTACCCCCCTCCCCCCCCCCAAGAACGATTTAAAATCTCAAACTAGAAGAGAACAATTAATTAAGATTAAAAAAGAAGCAGTAAAATAATCTACGACCGACTACGAACTCCGTGCTTAAGAGAAGGGGGTATCAAACGAGTCTAACCATGCATCCATCCATCCTACCACCGTGGCCACCTATAAAATACACATCCCCTTTTGCTCTCACAAAAGTACAATCCATCCTACCACCGTGGCCACCTATAAAATACACATCCCCTTTTGCTCTCACAAAAGTACAATCCAACTACGTCTCCTATCCTACGCATCGATAATATCCCAATTCCCATGATTCACTCCCTCAAACCCAACGACAACGAGAGCTCATAAGTAAATTATATCCTCACAACCAAAACAACCACCTAACCACGCCCACAAACCCCCTCCCTACACCCAACACCACACGGGCGATAACAACCAAGAACCAAACCCACCACATAACCCCCACAAGCCCCCATTCAACCAACACCCACCCTCCGCGTCGCAACCACCTGAACCTGCGTCGTCGTCTCCGCATCATAACCTCAATTTTATCACTGAGCTCCTTGACAAGTAACGTTTGACTGGTAACGAGATCCTTACTAACCTCATCCGCTTCGTCCCCGATCTTCCTCGTCAAAGGGGTGAGTTTTTGACTCAATGTACCATGTAGGGTCTCAATGGAGCCAAGGAGTTCGTTGACGTTTTTTTGGGAGAAGTTGTCTGCGGTGGACTTCCACATTCTCGCCGAAAGCTGGACATCGTTCGTCAGGAGGTTCGCGGCGAGGATATGTTGTTTGTTTCTTTGAACGAGCAAGTTCGTTTTGTTGTCAGGGGCGAGGTGAGCCACACCCCTGTAATGGGGATTCTCCGAATCTCTCAGATTCTGAAGTTCCGCTGCTCGACGAGAGATCTCACTGGCTTTTATACCGGAGCCGACTAGAAGAGCGCGAACGCGAGCGATCTCGACCTTGGTCATTGGTCCTCGTTGCACGGAGACTTCGCGGTCGGAAATACTCCAATGACGTCTGTTGTCTATTGATGCGTGGGCTTGTTGACTGACTTCTAGATTCGCTAGACCGGTTATTGGGAGGCCGTCACGTCGATGACCAGGCATTCCTAGGATTTCGTTAAGACGAGTGCCGGTTGCCAAGCTCTGGCGACGGGATTCGACGTCTGAAGGAGAGGGATCTCGCAACCGACGGGTGACAAGCCCATCTGGTAGAGCGGTCGGTGGTGATGCACCATGTACGTTAATTGTGGGAGGTGGTTTGAGTATTAAAGTGCTATCTGGTAATGTTTCCGTGGACTGTGGGTCGGACTTGGATTTTGATTGGTCGACTCGACTCTTCACAGAACGTCCTCTTCCTTCAAATGGCGATTTGAAACTTGGCAGGTCGTGAGAATAAGAAGCGTCTCCCTTTCTACCAAGGAGCTCTGTCATTTCCGCGTCAGAAATACCGACTGAACTGGCTCGGGAATGGCTAATTTGAGTTTTGGATTGTGGCGTATTGACGTCTTCTGCATCCGACTCGTCCGTGGAAACTGCGGAACTGAAGCCTGGCAACTGTTCCTTTGCACTCTTCCAAATGAAGTCACCGGCTCTTGCAAGCGGATTGCGACTGCTCTTGAAGAGCCCCTTAATACCAGAATCCTCTCCTTTCGCTTTGCGAACACTACCGTTTTTCTTCAGAGATGGCTTTGAAATTTCGTCTGATTTACGAGGCGCTGATTTCACCGGGCTGATTGACCTTCTGCGTTTCTCTGTTGAACTTGGAATGTCAGGTACGAGCTCCTTGAGATGGGCCGAGAGAGGAGATTCTTCCTCAAATGGCAAGCGTTGTCGATTTCGATCCCTGCTGTGGTCGCGGAATGGGGTGATTTTATGTTTGGCTTTCGTTCTTGTTGGAGAGATTGATCGACTAATAGGCGGAGAGAGGTCCATGGCTATACTTGGAATGAAAGCAAGAGGCGCCCGTGAAGCTTTCGTCTCAGGGGAATTGGGAGCGGTGTTATCAAGTTCTTCCATGGAACGCCTCGAACTCATTCCCGTGACTTCAAGACTGGGTCTACCAGACGAAACATATCGATTTATGCCCCCATTTCGTTCCTTGTTGACGATTGAGCCAGACCGACTGTGGGCAGCTGAGCCATTCTTGCTTGATTCCGACCTTCCAACGGCTGGAGGTTTTGGGAAATCGCTCGAGTATCGTGTTCGTTGGCTCTCATCATTGGAGAGATTCCAGTCATTCTCTTGAGACTCTTTCGCAAGCATTTCCATCATTTGTTTTTCTAGGATTTCCGCCCCATGACGGTCATGGCTATCCGTAGTTCCACTCCGTCGTCTTCGAGATAGTTTGTTTGGGCGGCGATCACTTTCAGATGAAGAGTCCGATCTACTTCTCGAGCGAATCTTGGTAACCCCATGTTCTACTGGGCTATGATGACCATGGTGCCCACGTGCAGCATTTCTCACATGCCGTAATTTTTGTTTCGCTTTCGAAGCAGCGCTGTCCGAGTGTTTTTCCGTTTCCGCCTTTACGGATGTGAAATTAGGCAGCTTTGTATCGATTCGTAAATTAGTCTCAGGGGACTCTGCCTTGTAACCAGAACCAGCAATTTGCTGGGGACTTAGATCATCACCTCTTCGTGATATTGGTCGTTTCAATTCGACTTTTTGTGGAAATATTCTGTTTCCGCGACTATCTTCAATAAGCTTCTTGTGGTCATCCTGCTCCAACCACAGAATATCTGCTAGCATATCCGTTGGTTCTGTGGTCCAGTCATTTCTAGGACGTCTGGTTCTTAGGCCTTTACTGATGTTAGATTTTGGGGAGGCATGCGGAGAAGTTGGTTCTTCTGAGGGCTTGGGTAGAGCTGGAATAAACAAACAATCCGAAGCTTGAAAGTCCTCAGTCGATGACTCTTTGGATATTTGATCCACCCAAGATGTTACTTGATCGATGTTGCCAAAGCCTTTGGCCTCTCCATTGACTGTCTGGCCTGCTCGCAACCGAACTTTTCGATTCCTGATATACTGCAGGGGGTTATACGGTCTTCCCAGAGGCCTTGGTGTCGGAAAGGTTACAGAAGTCGCTCGCGAGGAGGGAGCAGAAATGGGAGAAATAGGGCTAGTAAGGGATTCTTCGGGAGCACGCTCTACTTGGGGTTGGGGCTTCAAGGGGGGGAGGTACTGCAGTACACGACGATACTCGGCCATAAGTTCAATTGCCTTTTTGGCCTTTTCGGCGCGGGCTAGAGTGGATTGTGAGAAACGGTACTGATAATCACTCTCCGATGGGATTTCGAAGGCAGGCTGTAAAGGACTGTTGGACCTGTAACCAGAAGAAATTCTGGGCGATGAAGACGATCCTCTTTCTCCACGTTCCGGCTTTGGTGATATATTTCTAGATGACCGCCTTTGCTGCTGAAGATGATGGCGAAGGCTTCCTCCGGCAAACCCCTCGGCAAAGTCCTGGGTAATGGGTGGTAGGGGGGTCGAGATATTCCTTCTAGCAGCAATTCTCCTGCTTTCGTTCAGATTTAGTGCCAAATTTACAATCTGAACAGAATCTACGTCAAGACTGGGTGCCGCAGATTTTTCTTCCACATTGTTGTCACCTTCGGCCCAGTCGTCCTTTTCGACTTCTGAGCTTTGTTCCAGGCCGGGTGATGCATTCCTCACATTGCTAGCTAATGGACTGCTACGAGCTCGTGTACCCGCATTGGAAAGAGTCTTGGTATGCCTCTTGTCGACATGGGTATTTCGTATCGTTGCTTTGCCTTTGCGGTCGTGGGCACTGGAGCGTTGGCGGGGGATCTGTTCTGGCTCAGGGGAATTCGAGGAATTCCGGGGTGGATGCTCGAAAGGTGATTTCGATAGTAAAAAGCCACCACTCGTCCTGTTCCTATGATTCCTGTGGCTTCCTTTCCCACCCTTTACTGCCGTCACTTGCTGAGCTTCCAACTTCCCATTGCTTTCTCCATCTCCGTTTCCGTCTCCCACCCGGGTACGATCCGACATCGAGGACCCATCTTTGTGGCTTGCGGTGCTGGACTCGCCCGTCTCACTGCTCCCGAAGCTGTATCGTCCATTTGAACTCGATGTTCTGGTCATCGTCCGACGGTCGTGGGTGTTGCTCGCTGCATCTCTGCTCCGAACGATATCCGGGCTCGGCTTTGTATGTGATGCCATTCTGGGGGTGGTGGTGGTTTTGAACTTTGAGGGGCAAGGATCCTAATGCGGACCTCAAGGTCTCGATGCGTCATGTCATCGCTGGACCGGTATTTGGATATGTGGATGGACAGCAGAATTGTGGCGCTGTATGGGTGAGTGGGAGTGGGAGTGAGTTGTTTTGTCACACTGCCTGATACTGAATGTTCATATGGATTTGGGGGTGCGGATGTACGCACAGAACACACTCCAGCCCAAGCTGCGCTGCTTTCAGGAGCTGCACCCGGCCTTGGCGTCATCCGGGGTACATGAGCTTGCTCATATGATCTTCTGGAAGCGAGTAGGAACAAGGGGGACTTTCGGTTACGAGATAATACGAAGTTGCTCAGTATTTCAATACTTCAGTACTTCATGCTTTGGGTGCACCATTTCAATATTCCATCTTGGAGTTATCTATTCATGACATCTGAGGTTATTGTAGAGTACATTATTTCCTTCTCCCAAACGCCGCATAACCCCACTCCACACTTTTGGACCCTTTCTCTTCCCTCATCACTCTCTAGGCGCAGCTTTCCCAGACTTTTCAAGTTTTCTCCTCTTGTGTCGAAGACCCTCTGCCTCAGCGTCTTTCTTCTTATTACTGTATGCCATCTTCTCATAAATCTTCCGCTTCTTGCGGCTCATCATCATCTTGGCTCTCTCATTTTCTTCATCCTCTTCTTTCGCCTTCTTTGCTGCCTTATTCTTGGCATCTGCCTTGGCTTTGGTTCGTGGATCAATGACCTTCTCCTCAAGTTGGACACCAGTTAACTCAGCCTCCAATTCGCGCTGTCTTCGTAGAGCAGCCGAGGTAGTTTCGTCTTCCGACTCTTCTTCAGCTTCAGAGAAACCACCAAATGACTCGGGTGCGGCGTCGCTTTCTTCATCATCATCCTCAGACCCAGCTACATCCATACCCGCAGCTGTGGTATCAACTTCCTCATCTACGATGGATGTGGGTTTCTGAACTGCCAATTCTTCGTCGTCATCCTCATCCGCCTCAAGCTCATCGTCAGTCTCGACCTCCAATTCCTCGTCCTCGCGTTCCTGCTCATTGAGTGGCGCGCTCGGATCGTATTGACCACGGACCTTCTTGACAAATGGACTGAGATGCGGTGGCAATTGAGCTCCTGGAGCAAACAGATCAGGTCTTTTTAATTCTTCATCATTAACACAATCCCAGATCCATTGGGGCTGAATATAGATTCTGCCTGGTACTCGTGCTCCTCGTTGTAACTTTTGCGCCGTCTGATTATCACCGGCCTCCTCAGTATCCGGGTCGACTTGTATTGGAGGACGATCAACGACTTGATGAGTGATCGATGGATCCAACTCATTATGTGTATATGCGCCCTCACCCAGCACCGCGTCCCAACCAATGCGCTTACAGCCAAAAGCTCGTAAGATGAATTCAATTGGCTGTCTGGGCGTTTCTCGCGAAAGGAAAAATGTGAAGTTGGAAAAAAGAGTCGACGGATCAGTTGCCGAATATGAGGGCTGGGGTAGAATATCGCCACCTGGTGCTGCAGGCTCAAATTTGTCCATTGTCTCTGTAGCCTCCTCCTCATCTTCACCTGTTGGAGCATTAGTCATATCTTTGTCTTCCTTCTCGCCATTGTTCAACTGTGAAATGAGTTTATCGATTTCTGCCTGAAGTCGTGGGTTGGGTGCCGCATTTTTTCCATTTGTGATCTGCTTTGGCTGTTGAATGGCACCAACGCTGTTTCCCTCCAACGAAAATGCGCCCAATTCGGCACCCTGGTCGTCCTTGATCGCATCAAATTTGGGAGGGTAAACTAGTCCAACAGATGTGTAGAGACGGAAGTTGACAAATCCCAAAAGAGTTTGGTAAAACTCGACAAAGGTTCCCATAATTCTGAAATCAACATCTCCAGTGACTCTTTGGTTGAACCTGTATGGAACAAGCCATAGAATATCTTGGCCTTGAATGGTCGCCTGGTAGTAAATTCCCTTGATTGAAAGGAACGACTTTCGCAGGCTATTTGACACAATCAAGTAGTGCTCAAACTCCAAACATAAACGCTCGCATTTTGCGATTATCTTGGCGGGAACTGTAGGCGTGGATGGGAGGTTGGCAAAGAGGAACAACATGGAAAGACAATCATCTAAATCTCTGAGCGCATCAACAAAAGTTGGATATCGTTCCCGGATAACATGATCGAGGGTATATTTCGTCTTTCCGGTCTTTTCTGGTCTCGACGCATTGCGCTCCAATCTCGAGGCATCGTGAGCATCTCCTCTACCCAAAGCTTTCGAGATCTTCTTCTCAAGGGTTTTCTGTTCGCGGAACTTCTGCAGCAACGGCTCGTGAAGGAGATATTGGATATCTTTGGTGTAGTAGAAGGTAGTCGATGCGCTTGAAGATTTGGACGCTTTCTTCTTGTTTCGAGGCTCGCGGGGATAGATTCCTTTCCAGATGCAGAGTTTTCGGAAGTCTGGTAGACTGATCTGTAGCTTTTTCACGGCTTGGGTTCTGGTGATGAAGTTCTTGGCTTGGCCAGCAACTCCCTTCTTCTTAATTCGTCCCATTGCTGTGTTGGTGGTGAGGTTGAAGATGTTTTGGTGTTGTATGTGGGGTTGGGGAACTCTCAGCTTTCTCTCAAAAAAAAGTTTTGGAAGGACTGGATTGTCGGACGGGATGCGATAAGAAAATGCGCCGGCGTAAAAACGGGGCCGACTCGGAAGCTAGAAGGTCGCCGCGGCCAAGGCCCTCCCGACACTCTCCACTGGCTGCCACTGGCTGTGCCTCAATTGAACCCGACCAGGTCCCGACCTCAGGCCAAACAGCAGCAGCATCTCGCATCAGTTATGTAGACCACATTGCCAGCGCTTCACTCCTTTGCGCCAGCATAAATTCCACATCCACCACTATGAATGTCGAGCGAAGGAAAGTGGCCATCTTTGGTGCTGCTGCTGCTGTCCGATTTCTGCTGTTTACATGTTTTCCAGGACTGCCAGATCTGCTGACTGGCCGAGTTGAGATCTCGACACCAGTAACCAGCTTCAAGAGACGTAAGACCAGACCTGCCGTGGCCAATTCGTCCAAAACTCAGAGCTAATGCGATTATTGCAGTACAAGAAGGTCTCTTCCTCTACAATCACAACGTCTCTCCCTACGATGGCGGTGTCTACCACCAAGCACCCATACTTCTCCCTCTTTTCGCGCTCCTCCCAAGCTCGCAGTCATGGCCGTCAATGACATATTTGTTATATATTTTGGTCGATATTCTGAGCGCAAATGCTCTCATGAAGATTGCCAAGTCCGGGGAAGGCGGCTCTTCCAGTCTTTATTGCTCTCCAAGAATGGGCAAGAAATGGTCTGGCTATGCAATTGCAGCAGCGTGAGCATGAATCAGTTGCTTACTATGGGTACTTCTAACAATCTCATAGCTTTCTGTTCAACCCCTTCACAATTGCAACATGCATTGGCCGACCCACAAGCGTCTTTACTACGTGTGCCATACTCCACGCCATATCCAAAGCCGTGGTCGGGTCTTCGTTCACGTCCATGTTTGCCCTGTCTATAGCCTCCTACTTGTCCATGTACCCGGTACTTCTTTTCCCTCCACTCATACTTTTGTGCTATGATCGAAGGGGACCAAAGCAACAAAATGACTCACTCCTCAGCTTTGTTTCAGGAAACGTGATGGGAGTTGGTGGATTTTTATATTCCTTGTTCCATATGTCCTATATCATTACAGGCTCCTGGGAATTTATTGAATCCACATATGGTGTCCAATTATTGCTTCCGGACTTGACTCCCAATGTTGGACTTTGGTGGTACTTTTTCATCGAAATGTTCGATTCTTTTCGAAATTTCTTCTTGGGAGTCTTCTGGTTACATCTTTCGTCCTACGTTGCCGGATTGACGATTCGACTTAGACGGCAGCCGTTGTTTGTCATCATTACTCTTTTGGGGATATTCGCGATATTCAAGCCGTACCCATCCATCTCCGACACTTCATTATACCTAGCAATGTTGCCCTTGTATAGACATGTCTTTCCGTTGATGAGATACACCTTCCTTGCTCTCTCAACAATACTTTATGCCACACTACTTGGGCCAGCATTTTACTATTTATGGATATACGCTGGTAGTGGAAACGCGAATTTCTTTTACGCCATTACCTTGGTGTGGAGTCTTGGCTTGAGCATTCTCGTGGCCGATGCTTTATTTGCTGTTTTACGCGATGAGTGGGAAGTCGAAAGACCGGAAATGAGAGGGAAGGAAATCCGCCAGATATAACGCTGGCGAGAGACTCCCATGATCATGCAGCTTGTCGAAGCTACAAGCAAAAAGTGAAAGTCATATTCAGAATCTGGCAATTGTATGTCTCGCTCCCTTTTTTTCAGAAACACCAGGCTCCAGAAGCAAAAAGTCCCACCCTCTCAACGGTGTCCTACTTGCGCCAAAAACGGAATATATTTCCCATGAAATCCGAACCCCAAATTGCCATCATATCATAACATCGTGTAAAGAAATAATTGGTTAAAAAGAAACAGAACTTTTTTTCCAACTCCCTGACTTCGACCAACATAGTTCGCTCACCCACCTCTTGAATCGCTGCCTTCTAGTACCCTGGTCCGTGATTATATTCTCTCTCACAGCCTGTTTCAACCTCTTCTCGGTTATCTTCGTGTGCTCCTTAGTCGCGCGCAGCATCTCCTCCGCTCGTTGGTTTCTTGCCCTCTCTCTCCCGCGATGAGCTTTGATTTTGTCATCGATTAATTTCTGACTAGCTTGTGATTCTCTCCGGAATCTCGCACGACGTGTCTCATCTGATATTTCTTGAGGAATCGCTTCGTATGGAATTCTCGGGCTTGGGCATTCAGGTGCTGTGTCAGACGGCGCTGTTGATGCAGAAGATGCGGGTACTATTGCCATCGACCACGCCGACGACTTCGCCGTTGCTGTACCAGCTCCCAAAGCTGCAGGACTCTTCGAGCGTTTTGGGTAACTGCTCTTGAAAATATTGGAGGGATTTGAGACACTGACTCCTGAGTCGACTCGAGATCTTCTCTTCCCTCTTGCTTCAATTACATTCCTTGTGAGTTCTGCGGGCGGTGGTGAAGAAGGGTCCGGCCTCTCCTCTTCCTCCTGGGGAACGATCGTGGGATTGTGAAGCCATGCTGACGAGGAGCTTCGTGAGTTGCGTTTTGGTCGATATTGGTGGCCTGCCCCAAGGCCTTGAGGGTAGGAGATGTGAACGCTTTCATCTACTTGGGTATACATCTCGGCTGCTCTCGTGTACAGGTCTACTGTGACTCGAGAGGCATCCGCGTCGGAGATTCAGCACGCCAATAAGGGCCAATAAGGTCCTTCGACGCTCTTTGAATTGTAATCTTCCTGGCTATGCTTTTCTTTCGGATAACGAGTGAACCAATCTTTCCTCGCCTAGACGACTACGTCTCCAATGCTCTTCTCTTGCACACTTGGGGGTAATGAGTGAACGACAGTCCACGATAGAAGACGAATGTGAAAAATTGAGAAAAACGCGGGGAAGGGAGGCGGAAAACGAATGAATGGAAAGGTGTAACGGAGAAGATGATGAATGTTCTCAGCAAGAGCAACGAGTCTCTCACTTGACAACCCTCATCGAAAGAAAGGTGGTGAACAATCGAAGTCTTTGAGGGTGCGACAAGCGCGAGTGCGGATCTCCGTGGCTAGACCGCTGTGGATGAATGACGCTTCGATGGCGTCTTCCGTAGTGGTATTGCCCTCTGGTTAATGAACTCGGGTTTGAAAGTGTGCTTGGTTGAGCGAGTGTGAGCTTGTTGTAATGGATTTGATGCTTCCGGGACTTCTATGGAGGAAAATGGGAGATATATAAGAGATCTCGGTGGATTGTAGCCCGGTGTTGATGGATGAGTAATTTAGTGCGTAGATAGTGGCTTGGTGCCTGTCATGGCGGAGAGGCTAATGGTTCGATTCATGGAGAGTGAGTGTGGGGGCGTGGGGGGTTTTTAAGCGATGTTGATTCACTCTTTATATGTTCGTGAGGTTAATGTGCTATCGTTGCTTAGGAAGGTAGATTTGGTGAATTGAGATTTCCAGTTGTTGGAAATCTTGAGTTTTTTTGGAACATGGAGTGGATGCTTTCTGAAGACGTCGTACGTGATATCTCTGTATTGAAAGTTCTGGGTGAAAAGAATAGTGTATATAATCGTTTCTCATTCACAGTGTTGTCATTCCCAAATCAGTCTAGTCCTTTCCTCTCCCCTGTCTGAAAAGCGGTAACCACACCCCCTGTACCCCGCGGCGCCAAAATCAAAATATACGTTACAATCTTCCCAAGCTCATCGCACGCCATGTCCTCAGACTACCAGCCCGATTCCTCGTCAGATCCCGAGGATTCAATATACGAAGGTTCGGACGAAGAAGTGAAAAATTCGGGTGCAGACGACGAGGACGAGGAAGAGGAAGAGGAAGAAACGAGACCGAATCGCTGGACGGGACACCCTTCAACATGGCGCGGGATCACGGAACTGGAACGTGGACTTGCAGCGTCGCTAGAGGCGGGGAGGAATGCGGATTTGGGGATCCATTTGTATAATGCTTTTGCGTTGAAGAGACGCGCGAGGGGGTTGGTGGAGGGGCTGAGGAGGGGCGAGCCGGTATGTGCCCTCCTTCTCGTATGAGGGACTGGATGGGGAATTGGGCTAATTGGAACGGTGCAGAGTGAGAATCCGGTTGATACGGATAGAGATGATCCGTTTGTGCCCCCCAAGAGCTGGACTGCGTGGCCGTTGCTTCCGGTGGATGTTCCTAGGGAGGGAGAGGTGGTGGGGGAGGAATGGGTTCGGGCTCGCCTTCGGCAATGGAGACGACTATGAGAATTTTTGGTTAGATCTCCAGGCCAACTCGCAGCGCGCAAAGAAAATGGGGAGTGGAGGGGGAGGACTATCGGAAGGAAAGATAAGGCGCTCCAGCTGGCGAAGGGAGCTTGGANTGGGAGGAGGGAGAAGTCTAGTGCGGTTTTGGAGGATGTGCTTGTGGCGACGAGTTTGAGGTTCGCGAAGGAGAGGTTTGATGGGAGGGAGTGGGGTGTGGAGGGAGAGCATGACGCCCTGGAGGAGGAAGATGACGAGGATGAGGAGTCTGAAGAAAGCAGTGAGGATAATGCAGAGATGGTTAAGGAAGGAAATCAGACGCCGGAAACTACGTATATGAAACCAATTGTTTCTGCGGACGATGAAAGGTCGGCGGAACTCCTACGGCCCAGTGTTCGATATTCGATGGAGAAACTGGATGCGGTTCTCATTGCATTACATCATGCCCGAGAAACTTGCCGCAGACACGGTTCTTCGACTGAAGATACGGACGGGGAGGCGACAACGACAGTAGAGAAGAGGCCTCAGGGAAGACCACGGAATTACGAGATCACGAACTTGGTTCACCGAGAACGACAACAGGAAGAAGCGAGTATAGAGCCAGAACTCACTGGAGACTTTATCCGCCGCAAAAATAGCACGAAAGGCACTCGCCGAGGTCGTCCCCCAAAACAATACCCCCGTCTAGATGGAGAAACCGAAAAAGAATATATCATCCGAATCTGCAAATTGCAGAAGAAACCTCTTCCTGCATGGGCACGGTCGAGAGAACGTGCCGAATCACTCCCCAAATCTCCCAAGAAGTCTGTCACCCCCAGGAATCGTGCATGTTCCGTGGCAGCGGCTGAGAAACATCTGACGAGGCTGGGTCTTCGTGATTGGCGTGAGGTTCTTGGGACTGCTGCTCTTGCTGGCTTTCCTGCCGATGCGGTTGCGAGGGCGACGCAGAGATGTGCGAATCTCTTTGGGGAGGGTATGGTTCTTAGGACGCTGGTTGAGACGCCGTTCTTTGGGGAGGGTTCGATCGTGGATACGACTTATCAACCTGATCTTGTTCCCAATCTGGACGGAGAAATCCATACATCGGATTCTGATGGCTTTCAAACCACCCACAGCCATTCTTCTCAGCTTTCGGGTACCAAGTGTTATACATGTCCTATCAAAGGTTGTACCAAACGAGAGAAGGGATTCAAAAGTCAGAGCCAGCTTATGGGCCATCTTAGGACTGTTCATGAGATGGATGCCAAGGATGCCGCGCAGTTTGATGTTCCTAGCGATGATGAGTGTGAGGGAGCGGTACATATTGATGGGTTCTTGAGGCCCGTGAAGAGGGGGTGGAGAGGTCCGGATAAGGGACCTAGGAAGAAGTTGAAAAAGGCTCTGGATTCTTTAACGGGGAGTGATGTAGAGAATTCGGAGGAAGATAGAGAGGTTGAGGGAGAGACCTCGGAGTAGCTATTTAGACATATGGGAGTGAAATAAATATACAATCCTCAAATTCTCAATCTCACAAGTACTGTGAACAACAATTCATCCGAACATCTCTATCATCAATCCCTCGCTTGTCTAACAAAACAAAAAGAAACAAAAAGAAAATCTGACAATCTCCCTGTCAATCCATAACCTCTACCTCATCACCTCGCCTGCTCCCCTCTTCCATCCCTTCCACTTTGAGTCTTCAATGCCGAAGAAGTATTACTACTGTCTCCCGCCTACCAATATCGTTCCACAGCTGCAAGGTAAGCAGTAAAAGTAGGCCGAAGATCTCGATATATAGTATGTTGAATTGTGATTGGGGTGGTGCTTCTTGTCTGGTGGGTGAAGAAGATCGGGAATTGGCAAGGGGAATGTTGGCAGGCGTTGTTAGACTTAATAACGAGCGTTGTGAAGCGGGATCTCTGGTAAGTGGTGGGGACGAGGAATGGGCGAGGGGTAAGTTAGTTGACGGGTGTTGAGGACCTGGGTGTGGGATTGGATGGTGAGTATCACCTAGTCTTGAAGCAGTTTGCACCTTTTGGGGAAATTGGGGCCGGCTGGAGGATGGCAACGATGGAACGGGGTTGGGTACTTGGTCCTGGCTAGGAGATGGAGGTGATTCAGGATCTGATTCTGGGGTTTGTGGACGGGAGTCTAGTGGTCTTGATAGAATTGGAGTCCTCGGTCCAGGTCGGCTGGAAGGTGACAATGGTCGATGGTGGACTTGAGGGGTGTTAGGTACTTCGTCCTCGTCCTGGTCTATTGAAGGCGAGTATTGATCATCCGACTCTGAGATTGGGCCGTGAATCCCCCCTGGCCTCGCAATATTTGGAATATTCCGTGGAGCTCGGCTAATAGGCGAGGACGGCCGCGTTCGAAAGGGATTAGATTCTTGCTCGAAAGACGGCGAGTATGGAGTCCCTGATGGTCGGGTTTGGGGATGAGGCATATGTGTTCTGGAGAAGGTTCGAGTGGTCGTTGTGATCTTGGTTTGCACGGGGAAACGAAGGTTCAAGTTCCCCCGTGTTGGGATTCGTGGAAAGGGGGTTGGTTGGCGGCTTCTGGCTGGTTGAGCAATATTGTGGAGGGGACCCTGTATTCTGACCCTGGAGTCTATACGTGAAGCGGAGGGTTCATCTTCTTCTTCAACGCAGCGAGGAAATTGGGATCTGGAGTTTATTCGTGGTGCGCCAGGTCGTCGTTCCTCAGCGGGTTGACCAAAAACATCAACATAACTCGAAAACCTGGAGGTAGCATTTCCTCGTCTTTGACGTGGTGCTATGGAAGGTATCTCAATTTCTTCATCCTGTATTGGCGAGAGCCTATCGCCCCTACCTCGGGTTCCCATTCTCGTCGTCCTAGTCCTGGGGGTCTCGAAATCAAACTCATACTCGGCCGTTGAGGGAAGATAGCTTGAGCGAATGTTCCCTCGTGATCGGAGATTCGTGTGTGGGTTTTGTATTCTGGTATTGCGCGCGCTTGAGGGGCCGGGATCGCGCAGGGGGCATCTCTCGGTTGGTAGTTCACTTAGATATGTGGAGTTCAGGGGACGGTGGTGGGATAGGTTGGATCTGGGAGGGACTATCATTGCGTGTGGTTTTTTTCTTTTGAAGCAGCGTTTTAGTTTTTTTATATGGAATTTGAGGAATGAGATGGGATTTAGGAATGGGTTCTGGTAGGCTTCTGTTTTGTTTATGTGTTTCTTTCGCCATGGTGAAGTCATTTTGGTGTTGAGCTATCTGGTACTCTCTTTTCAGTTGATGGTATACTTAAATAGCAATTAAGGTGTGTATTATGGAACGATATAACTGTGTTGACTCACTCAATTAACTGACTAGGGAAAACCTGTTAACGAAACACGGAACTAGAGGAATGGCAAACACCCTTTTTGACTAGGAAGTAGCAGATTTTCCTTTTAGCTTTGTGTTCTATGTTTCACCGTCACTTTTTACCTCGTAGGACCACATTCTATAGACTATATCCTCCCAGGAGTTAATATGCTAAATATACCCAGGGATATATAGACGAGGTCGAAAATAGGTAAATCATTTAGTTCTTATACGATTTATATTAAAAGAAAAGGATTATATACTATAATCTACTGTATTAATAAAGTCATTAGATAATGTTCATAAATAAAGAACCAACAAAGTCACCTAACACAAATTTGTCAAACAATCAGCACTCTTCAACATTGCCCAAATTCTAGATGACTGGTTGCAAAATTCAAAGAAGAAAGACGAACGACAAACAGAAAGCCTCTACTTAACCTGCTGTATATGTGACTGGCCAGGTCTACCTTTTGATGGGTTTCTACGCCCACGTAACAATGACTCGTCTACTGTTTGTCGCCATATATACTGTGATACATGTGAATGGAAAAAGGTGGTGGAGACTCTGGGCATTAGATCTGTGAAATACAATTTGTTTTATTGTGAATGTGATGAAAATAGCCGTCCTTATGTACGACGTCTTATTTCTCAAATGTGCGTTATGTGGGCATAGTTATAGTTGGGAGTGCACTGAAAAATCGACTGTTGAGGATTAGGGTCATAGGAAAAGGATGAAGGAGATGGAGGATTTATCTTGCTATGAGGATAATAAAAGGAGAGGTGATTCTAAACTGTATGACAGTATGATCTTCGATACCAGCGGTAATGCGTAATGCCTCAAGACCAAGGAAGAACTCCAGTCTGCATTATTTGAGTAAATAAATAGTTTTCTACCAGACCATCATGTTTTCTCGGCTAGTAGTTTTTCGCCATTATCATGGTAAATTTGAATTTATTCACATAGCGTATTCCTAGACGAATCTCACATTCCCGCATCTCCAGTAGAACAGCGGTCTGATCGTTTATATCGTGAATGGCTTCGAAAGACTTATCAATAAAGACCATGCATGCACTTAAATTCATCTCGACGCTCGAAATCCTTTCTTCCTCAGTACGAAGTATTACTCTTTCTAAACTGGAGATAACCGAGTTTCGAAGGAAGTAAAAATGAACACTTCACCAGAAGAAAAGCCAGCTTCCCCGCATCCCAGCCGACATGTCAGCAGTGAAACCTCCAAATGCACCTCACCAGTACCCCAAGGAGCTCAAGAGTGTAGAAAGACTGCGTCTAAAAGCTGCGACCAGGAGACGATTGGATCCTCGGTTGCAATGTCAAATGCGCCTACGAGTCCACGATCGGGGGAAGCTTGGATCTGCTGCAAATGCTTCCGCGATAAAAAACACTCGCTAAATTTCGGACAAATCGCAGAATCGAAATGCCAGTCTTGCGACAATTCTCGATGCCCTCGTTGTATCACGGATCCGGCTTATTGTGCTGCGGCATTGGCAAGGCAATGGAAGGGTGGAAGATTGAGGTTGAATCGGAAGCAAAGGTTGGAGGCTGGCTTGGATTGGAGGCACTTCACGTGAAGCATGGTGCATTAATGTTCAGGGTTTTTGATGCGGAGGGATTGAAGTTGAAAGACTGTTGATGACACGAGGAAATGAAGAGAGAGTGAATGGAGATTTGTCGTTGGTTTATAGTACTCTTGGAGTTCCTTCGTCTCCCTTTACAAAGTTACATAACTGCACATCGATCCGATGGAAGTCCTTCCTCCATTGATAATAAAGCCATTCCGTTCATGCATCACGAGTCTACAACTCTTCAGGAATAGACTCCATAGCGCAATTTCGTACCATTTGCATCTGTCTTTTCCACCAAATCATAATCGAGCAAATCGTCATGGTTGCCGTTTTCTTTCGACCAAGGTAGCCTTTTCGCATATCCTGCTGTCGGCTATTGGCGGGTCGAGTGACATTCAATGTAGGGAAAAGGCGACTCGGTGGAGCTACTCTGCCGCGATATTTTGGCGGTCGTGGGACATCGTTCAACCTTTCGTGCAAGCTTCCTCTTTTAATGAGGGATGATCCAGTTTTAGTAGCAGATGAGGTGAAAAATAAGCGAGTCTCCGCCATGGGTGTTGTATCGTCCACTTTTCAGTGGGTATTGGAGTATGAAACGATTAAGCGATCGTATTCTGCGTGGATAAAAAGAGGGGACTTGGTTAAACATCTTTATTGTTCGTGCTGTTCGTGATTTGAGTCAACCATTTCAACTGTACCCTGTTCATCCATTCATGAATGACAGGACATGTCTGAGTAAGAGACATTGTAATGCCTCTGTACACACGACAAAGGATTCAAATTAAGCTAAAAGTCTGTTACAAGTACTGTACAGTAGTTTAATTGTCTTAGTATGCATAGGCCAGTAAAGGTGAAAAGCAACAATAAGTTGAAACATTCATATCCATATTGTAATTATGCGAGGGTTTCTCTTATGCTGGGTTACAGTAGCTGTGTAAAGCTTCACAGAGCGATGAACATGTCTCTAATCGCACAAAGATCTTGACTGTGTTACCTATGTGTGATTCATAGTAATAAGATTTGACTGTGTTTGCATTGCGAAACTGAGTAGCTATCTGCACAGTACTACGAGATATACCTCTAACCATGAGTGTCCTCCCTTTCTTGCTCAGATGGGCCAACAAGTCATGAGTGTGAATCGCAAGGGTCCTGTTTGCCACTCTCCCCTCTCCCAAATTTCATCCACTATCACCTGAATTCGCCGATCATCTCAAATATTGAATATGTTACTAATCTCACTGCTGATACTCTTCTCTGCCTTATATTAGCCATGTGTGTTTCTGGTCAGCCTTCAATGTATCCCCCACTCTTACCCTAAGGTATCCTTAGGTTATCTGACACACTTCCAATTTTAGACAGCCAGGAACATGATTTCCACTCAGAAATATTTATATTTGCATAACTCTGGTGCTAGTTGTCTTAGGCACACCACAGGTCCTGACTATGATCCGAAGAATACCACCATTTCATCAAGTCGGCGCGCCATGGGAAGAGCTTGAAACAGATTTCTGGTATCAGAAGCTAATGAACATTCTTCAAAATTCGACTGATCATCGGACGCCGCTATGCTTAACCTAGTGTTTGGCAGTGAGACAGTTCTGGTGGGATACATTTAACCGGTCAAACTTTGATCGTGCGATGTTTTCCAGTTTACCTGCAGTACTTGGACTTCAACCAACACGCTTTTGAAAGGTTGTATCTCATTTTACACAGGTACAGCTGCCAGATTCATAGAAGCTGATACAAATTTAGTTGTTTCAGCATATTGGAAAGCTCCATGGCATTTTGGTTTCGTGTATTACATTAATTCTATCCCCGACTTCCCAACATATTAAGAGATACTAAAGGGTACCTCCGACCTTGAACTCGATGGACATGAAATTATTCCTTTCCGAAAAAGAATTAGAATTTGAGTAGACAAGCCGCAAGGCAGTTGACTATCTGGCTGTGAAGTGGCACAGAATTAGATTGGTTCCAACAGGTCGAGATGAAGGATAGCATACTTATCTGATGGGGAATTGCCTAGCCATCAGTTCATGTACAGCTACCTGGAATTTGGATATATGTCGTGTATTTGAAGTGATACAAAGACATCGGGACGTTCGCGCGAGCATATACGATGCATATGTATCAGACGTTCGTTACGGGTACCCTTTGAACCGTTTAGCGCATGAATATCTGAGTTGAAGGATAATTTTGCATGCGCATGTTAAAATCAGGTGAAAAATGACGATTTCCCTACCTACCTTCGGGCCATGACTTTTAAATCTTCCAGCACACTTTCCAGCAATACCAGAAAAGCTACTAACAACGCCACTTCGACCTTTCTTCTTGTCATAAATATCCATAACAGTTCCATAATATAACAGGTACAATGTGCGTTGCAAAACTCCGTCTGAATGGCTTCTCAATAAGAAAAGGGAATCGAGGAGATCCAGTAACTTAAGTACAAGATACTCCTCCCACCTCCTCTTGTGTTCCAAGGAACTTTCCCTGAACCCTTTTCAAGTAAAGTTTTAAATACCCGATAACGAGTTCTTACATTAATCTACAGTTGCGAGGTTACCGATTGTTCCGGGGATTGAAGTTGTATAGGAAAAACTCGTTACTAGGATAATCGATATAAGGATATCCCGGGTCATATCCTTAACCTTGTCGTGCCCGAATTTTATTGGTGGTACTCAAGGATATACTCACTATAAGGATATCCTTAGCGTTTTCAAGGTTCCGAGTTCTTTTGAATACTAAGAATATCCTCGCTTTTATCCTTAGGGCTACCTAATTTCTAAAGGATTTAATAGATATAGGTAATCTTATAAAAGATTCTAATATCTTTTAGATAATACTAGGTATTTATACTAAGAGTTATAGAATTATATATAAAGCGCTAAGCGTATATACATATTACTAGGCACTATCATATGTATTCCTAGTATTTCAAATCATACGTCATCGTCGCCTACCTTGCTAAGACACTCGCCATAAGGATATCCCCGCTTATATCCTTAGAATAACCGCCCGAGTATGTCCTTGCATCGAGTTCGTTCTGCATATCCAATCATCCTTGCCGGAAGAGTCTTAGCTTTCCGGACTCTAGATCTGCTGCCTACTCGTACACATTGTTGTTTACTACGAGATATCTGGAGAATACAACATTTAGCATTGAAAGACTAGCAATTATAACAAAGTCATTATCCTGAAGGTTTGATTAAAAACAACATCAGGAGAACAGTTGCCCTCGAAGGATATCCTGAACTTTTAATTTTAATATAAACGAAAGTGTCTTTCCAGATGGGAAAATCTAAAGGATACCGATGCCCAGACCTAGGCGCTGGTACGATACTTCTGGCCATTTCTGAGGTTATCGCGATGTGTTATCTATTCTGAATTGGTTGCGTATCTTACTAGAAATCGATATTATATCGATTATCGCTAAGAATCCGATACTATATTGTCTATATAATTCCGAAGGTATATATACTAGAGAACCCCCCAGTATTGAATACCTATAGATACATTAGTGCCCAGGTCTGCCAAGAGCCTAAAAAAGATAATATTAACTTTCTTCCCAAAAAGTGTTCTGGCTAGAGTTTGTGTACTCGAGTATACTTTGGCGAAACTTTACGGCCTATGCTTGTCGAAGATTTCGCAGAAGTGGGGATCTACCATCATACAAAAGTTCCACCCAGCTCGTTACGATATCTCTTGAGCTGCCAGTATTCATGTCCTGCTCAAAACGAAGGATGAAAACGAATAGAACTTGAGTAGTACACCAGTGTACCGGAGTTGAGTATAGTTCACATAGATCGAGGTTTGGATAGGTACGTTTACTTCTCATATTCCTTCCAGAGTATAGGCTAAAAAGGGAAGTGCACTGAAAGTGGAGTACTGTAAAGAGTTCCACTTTCACAACATTTTCTCTGCAAAAGAAGGTTATTTGGCCAAACAGGCTGTGTTTCCAAGCGTTTAAAGCCTAACTCAACCCATTCACCTGCATCCAAATAAATCTGTTTTGCGTGCACGTTATTTCGTTTATAACCATATACTCTGGAAGGGATACCCTTAATACAGTACAGCACGTCTTGCCATGAAATATCTCCATTGCTCTTGGAAGTGCGATAGAGCCCTCATTGTATCGCAAAAGCAATATGATCCCCATGTCCTTGGTGACTTTGTAGTTTGCATCCGAATTTTCCTCTAAGTGGCTGTAGTCTTGTACTGATCCTGCTCGATGCCTACCTCCTACTATAGATACGCTTTCTGGGAAACATCACGTGACTGGCACCATCTATTGAAGCCATGAGAGTGCGCACATCACAACGCTGAGTATGTGCCAGGTGTTAATTTCTTCTCTTATGCAAAGTGCTTGACTCCGCGATATACTGAGTTGTACCCATTATCAACTTTTGATGCGAACTCGAAACTCGAAACATTGTCGCTAATCCGGCTTCAAATACTCAAAAGGGACACTGCCAATAGAATGAATCATGCCAAATGGCTCCTACCTTCAGCATACTAACTCTGCATGTATTCTTGTTTCGTTGTTTAAGAGTATCTATCTTACTGTATTGATACTTCCCGTCATTGCTCTTCGTGCACATTGTGGGTATATTAGGCATGAATAATATAATTGAGTGGATTATTCCAGGCAGGTAGAGCAAAATCTCCTCCATCTTTGAATCTCAATAGGTGGCATTAAAAGAACAAATGCTCGAAGGTGGTTGACATGATTTGGAGTTTACTTCTGTAAGTAGAGTAATGACCGCACCTCTTACGTATACGAGCCCAGCGGACAAATTATCTGAAGTGTAATTTTCAGCTATAATATATATATTCCAGGACACAATTACACATAAGGAATAGTACGAGATGGAAGTGGTATGATAATACTCAGTACTATTTGCGTATTCACAATATCTTATCTGTTGCTTGCTGCACAGCGACAACTTGTGACCTAACAAGAATGACGCTTCCCCAAGCCACACTGTCAGAAGCATATCATCTGGCGGAAGTCAATTCCAAATCAATATTCCTCTTAACTACGATATCAACTATGTAAGTACAGCAAAACCACAACTGATTGGTATTACCTCCCTGCCAAGTACTGGCACCTCCATCAATCAGCCTTGCTCAACAGTATCCACAAATCGCCAGCTTACAACGAGCTCCTACGATCTTCATCTGGAGAATCAAAACTCTGCCCCAAACTGCGACGCACACTACCAATACCGCTACTCAAATGAATCATCGAGGTTGGTCGCTTGCTAAAATCTCCTGCAACATCAATTTCAGCTTCGTCACTCGCAACCTCGTCAGATCCAGTCCTAACCTCATCTTCATCATCCTCATCTTCTCCAAAGACCTCAAGCTTCAAATCGTAGAACTCAGTCTCCAAACTCTCAATCTGCCCCTGAACTATCTCGATCTCCACCTCCCGCTGCTTGGTAGAAAGGTTCAGAGCACCAAGAAACGCGACATTGTCCACCTTTCCAAGCTGGCAGAAGTTCTGGGAGCTCAGAACACGCTTTGCTTCGTTCAAAGCGGCCAATTTGGTCTCCAGGAAATCGATATCGTCATGCAGGTTTTCCATGGTCTTGAGAGCCAATTGCTTCTGGTGGGGTGGTTTGATACCCGGATGACGACCAATTATTTGAGGGTACAGTTCCAGCAAAACTTTTAGGTTCCAGGTTTCGATGTACTGAACGCTTCGCTTTTGTGGTTCGTGCGGGGTTCGAGAGTCGTGCGAGATCAGGTTCCATGTCGTGAGTGCTAGCGTGACGGTGTGTGGTGTTTGCGTGGCGCCAGATGCTCGAGAGTATTTAGATCGGATTGACTCCTCGTCTGGATAACAGTCATCGCGAGGGCTGGAAAGTGAGCTGGAGAGCGACATGGGCGTCCTTTTCGAGAATCATATGTGTCAGCTCTCTTTCTTTCTGCGTCAATTTTGGTGAGTACATACCACTTCCTGGGAGTCATTTATCTCGTGTACTGTTTTCCACAATACTAGGGCTGTGACGCGTAAATAGCACGAGTTAAGACTCGAATTCTGTGCAGAGAGTAACTGTTGAGATGAGTCGCCAACCAAAGTATGACCAACCGTTTCTGATCTCTAGCGTTGTAAAATCGAGAAGGCACCCGACAACCTCAATTTGTGGTGTTTAATCGTGAATCTTGGACCGCTTATTCCTCGGTTCATTATAGTGAATATCAGCATTTCAGCCTCGTGAATTGCCTTGCTTTTCCTCGCTCGGTTCCGGTCGCTTGAAGTCGGGCAAAGCAAGTGACCGACCCGGACATTGTCGGCTAAGCGAGGCCGCAAGACAACGATAACCGACTAAAAGCTATATTAGTGCCCTCTGCTTAGGAGTTCGCAATAAAGGTATCCGCATAGTATATTTAAACTCAAATATAGGACAACTTTCAAAAGGAGACAGATTTCACCTCGGGAGCCGAGGGTCGAGGGTCGCTTAATGAAATAAGCCCAATCTTAACATCGGACGACTCAATTTCGAGTAACCGCAAAACACCGCCACGCATAGCCAACAAACAGAAACAGAACGTCATACCAGCCAATTCTATTCAAGCAGCCACTCCTTAGCTCTCCCTCGGTTTCCCCTCAATTTCCGACTCCAAGTGCCCAATAAGCTCTTCGAGACCATTAATCCGAGCACGTAGGTTGTCAAGATGTTCGCTCTTGCTTTTGTGTTTACAAAGGTTGAGTTCATACTTCGTTCCGTCGTCTAAATCTGATAGTAGGGTGTCATAGGTGACAGCGAGATGGGCACGGGTCGCGTCGACGCGGTTTCTTTTGCAGCGTTTGAGTTTCTCGGAGGGAGATAGATCTGGGGATGCTGAATCTAATTCCGGTTGAGAAGAGGGTGCGACTTGAGGATTGATTTCTGCTACAAAACTTGGGTCAGCACATAAGCTTTCCTAGGCCCATTGTCTTTTCAAGGATGGAAAGTTACCTGAATGAGAATTCGTCGTCTTGTTATGTTACTGGTAGGCAGCCATGGCTTACTATTTGAGTATTTTTCAACATAGACGCTCAATAAAGAAGGTGTTGTAAAGCGAATATCTCTGCTCAATATGAGTCATGAGTCAACTCTACTCAAGCAGCTTAAATCCAAGCTGGCGTCGACATTCACCATTTCAGCAATCAGTTATTCCTGAGCCTTCCTTCCTTGTAGTTTACAGCCTCGCAATCTCATCCGCCTCCGTGTCCTCAATTATAATTTCATATTCTCTCATTTATTGTTTTTCATTCCAATTCCTTTGGCCTTGCATATCTCCTCCTGACGACGCCCTCAAGAACCACTCGCTGTAGACCCCGTAAACTCAAGATTCGAACAACAACTCTAAAAGCTTCAATCTCTTCCTCCGCCTCGTCAGCAGCAGCTTGAATAACTCTGCTAAGGTCTCTTTCTAGGCCAACCTCTTTGAAAGAAAGAGTTACATATGACTCCCCCCTTGAACTGAGCGAGAGGAAGGTGCGGCTGGCTAAGGATCTGTTTCAGTGAAACTTGGATCAGCATAGACGTCATCTTATGCTTCATTCTCTTTCAAGAATTGGAGATTACCTGAAGCCACGTTTTTTGATCCCATCTTTTTGTAATAACGTAGACATGATTGCCAAGGTTGCGATCTAGGTATATGTCAAAGTAAGAGTTTAGTAAAAACTTTACTATAAAGCGTTCCCCGCTCTATAAGAGTATACCGACCGCTATCTGTAAAAACCGTTTGAGATCCCACTCAGTGACTTCAGCATAACAGAAATTTACCACCAGAACAATATCATCCGAGAACCAAGCATAAAACCAGAAGCATCCCTTCCTCTCCACTTTTCCTCAAAACTATACTAGAAACCAAGCTTGATATTTTCTATCCAGCAACCCTTAGATCCACTCATCAGTATCAGTCAGTATCAGCAATGCCTTAAGCCTCGCATGGAACCCAATCCAATCCACTCCACATATTCTCCTCGCTCAAAATCCACCAGATTCCATTCTATTCCATCCACACCACCAAGCACACCCTCGCCGTAAAAAGATTCCAAATATAAAAGCAAAAGCTCAAAACCGACCTCCATTCCCAGACTCGCGAAGCATCATAAGTCACCCTGAATCCGAAACGAGAACTCGAGTAATCCTCCCAATCTCTCCATTCCAATGCTAACCAAATGCAAAAGTGAAATAAACACCTGTTGTGCTAGATCCACCATATCACCTGATGTGGAATCCACTTATTCATTATTGTATTATTATTTGTACAGCGTCCGTATTGAGATACGGCTCCACCTCTGATTTACCCCTTTCTTTCTCATCTTGCCCTTTTTCCTTCCCTTATAAATACTCTGTATAATAGCTTCTCAAACAATCAATCAATTCTCCATGACCTTCAGTACACCACACTCTTCAGCCCAACAACACCTCCAACTAAAGCCTCTACAATCTTCCACAATCACTCTACATATCAACGCCTTCCTTCTTTTCCGGATAACATATGGGCCCGTTTTCATTTATCCCATTTCATCCGTGTTGTAAGGGAGGCTATGCTACCACACAATTCAGCTTGTAATCATCAACCTCTCCCCATCCATACAAGTTCACACCAACGCTCTTCTCCCCAGCGTCCCCATACATACTCGTACCAGCATAAAACCACAAACTCCCGCCTCACAAACCACATCCAAAGAAACCCTACCCCACATCCCCTAAACCCATCACCCAGTACCCAACAAACAGCACAAAAAACGCCCTTCCCACTCAAAGAAACCCCTCACACCCCATCTTCTTTCAAAGATCATCTCCCATTTCCAACCTCCACGCACCCAAAAGCACCCAAAAAAGATTTGAAAAGTTCAACACTTTAGATCTTAACACCCCACTCCCACTTATACTCCAAACACGCCCACCTGGCCATCAAAAAGCTGCCTAAACCAAGGACCAGAACCCCCGCGAAGAAACCCACGAACGCCGTAGGTCCGATTTTGGGGAGGAGTTCGCCGCCTAGTGGGGTACAGAGGAGTGTGCTATTGCATTACCAAGAGGTTAGTATTTCAATCCTCTCATCCCAAAATCGCCTCACGCAATCAAGAAATATCAAAAGAGAGAGAGAGAGAGAGAAAGGGGGAAAAGAGAAAAGAAAAGTGGGAAGGAGAGACTCACGCAAAAGCAACAACACTATAACTCGTCCCATAATACCTCCCATACTACGCCGCTCCACACAACTGCCCTAGACAAACCGGCGCCATCGACACAATCCCCGCACTACCGAACCCAAAAAACGGCGCGAAGACGTAGAACTGGATGACGCCATCGCGGTTCACAGGCAGCCACAGGACGAGAATGATCAAGAGGGAGAGGATCAGCGTGAGGATCATGGTGTTGTAGCGTCCGATTCGGTCGGAGATGTACCCCGAGAAGGAACGCCCGAAGGCGGAGCCCGCGTTGAAGATGGCGATTACGTTGTAGGCTGTTTGTGGGGGGAAGCCGCGGCTGAGGGAGTAGGAGGGGAGGAGGGCGAGGGTTGCGAAGAGGACGAATTCGTAGCCTGGGTCGTGGGATGGGTTGTTAATGTGGAACCCGTCTTTCGAGGCGAGGGAGTGGGAAAGGAGAAGAAATGAAAAAAAGAAGGAAGAGGAAAAAAACTAACATGCAACTCCCCCAGTAGCCCACCCAAACCTCGCATCCAAAAAGCACCTCAAATCCACCGCGCCCCCTCCCCTCCTCCTCGGCAACCGTCCCTTAATACAAACATTGCCTACAGCCATGAACCCCCCCCACGATGGCGGCCACAACCCTCGTGGCAGTCTTCCATCCATACCTCTCCAGCGTCGCCTTAAGCACCAAAGGGAACAAAATACCACCAACACTAGACCCAACAAATGCGCATCCCGACGCAGTACCCCGCTTGCGTTCAAACCAGTGTGATACAACGGCTAGCGCGGTGGTAGTAAGACAAGCTCCAGAGATCCCCCCCAGGATCCCGTAGACGAGCATGAAGTGCCAGTAGAGCGTGCATTCAGCGAGCAGGACGCAGGAGAGGATGTAGAGGAGAGAACCGAAAGCGAAGAGGTAGCGGGGGCCGTGGGAGTCGAAGAGGGGACCTACTTGGACGCCTAGGAAGAGGTTGAGGAAGACTGTTTTGATTGTTAGTTTGATCTTATCTTGTGAATTCCCAATATCAAGTCTTGCAAAAGATCGGGAGAAAAGGTGAGGGAAAGAAAAGAAAGAAGCATACCAGAAACAGCAGCAATCCACACTACATCCCTCTCACTATACCCCTTCAACTGATGTTCCAACCAATAGCTCTGAAAAAGTCCCACACTACTAATCAATCCAAAAGTGCCCGAGATAATCGAGAAACCCCCAAGTATCACAAGCCATGCCTGTGTTCCTCCCTCCGGGAACGTGTAATCAGCCCTATTTTCAGTTTCTGCAACTTGTAAGGCCTCGAGATCTGGTTGTTGTGTTAAAGAAGGTTGTGAGGGCGAAGGTAATGGAGATGGGGTTATAGATCGGATGTGGGGTTCGAACTGAGATTTAGATTTAGATCCGGATGTTGAAGGGTGTGAGGGTGATGGGTGGAGAGATATAGGATGGGATATTGTCTGGTGTAAAGAGTAGAACTCGGGATTGGGAGGAGATTGAGAAATATTCGAGATAGTCTTTCTCAATTCCAGGTGAGAATGGGTGAGTGTAGGTTGAACGGTGGGAAGGACATCAAGTTCCAACCCAGATGGTATTGCCATTTCTCCTTTCATCTCTTCTTCCTTATAAACAATACTCGAGACCAAACTGTACAATAAACTAAACAATTACAAGAGAGAAAAAAGAACGGGAGGATTGAGAATTATGAGGGACGGAAAGAAGTGAAAACCCCGATACACTAACCTCCACACCGTCCCATCACCAGCGCGGAACTAAGAGATTGGGGAATATACTTCTCGACCACCTCATGCAGCAAGCTTAGATAGCTGTTCATGCACCTACGTCAAGCTAGACGGCTACGCGGACCTCAACCATCAACGCCCAACCCCGCGTAGGGAGAATTCCTATTGGGGAATTCTTTTCATGGAGAAAAAGAAAAATCTAATTAAGGTTAAATCGACGACTAATGGCCAAACATTTTTTGGGTGGAGAAAAACTTCAATTCCGTACGGGATAAGGATATCAAATCGGAGCTCGAGGGAATTGACGGCGGGAAGCTCCATATTCGGACAGAGGAAGGAAGTGGAGATAGCTTGTGACGGTGGAGACTAACTCACCTTACCCACGGAGTAAAAAAAGGGGAAAGGAAAAACATTGGAGAAAGAGGGTCACATATCCGAGCTCCATTCAGACACAAGTAGATAGCACCGGCTGCTGTATATCGCTGCGACAGTATATCTTTCATTCCCTCAGCGTCGCATCTAATCTGGTATCATACGTATCATTGTGGGGTTGCTTCACCGTTCACTTCAGGTTTCTTCTCTTCCGATGAAGGCATTGGAATAGGTCCACCAGGAGAATCCGGAAGTCGCGCTGTCAAAACCTCAACTCCATCCTTCGTGACCAACAAAGTATGTTCTGCGTCTTGTTAGTAAATGTTCTCTCCATGGCACCCTTTTCCCAGAATGTCAAAACGTACCGAATTGTGCAGTCATTTTCCCATCTTGAGTGACACTCGTCCAGTCATCAGGCCATGTCTTATCCCTATATGTCCCTAAAGCGATCATCGGTTCAATAGTAAAGCACATTCCTTCCTTTGCAGCACCCACAGCCTTGTTCTTGGCATAATGTGGAATACTTGGCGAGCAGTGGAACATGCTGTTGATGCCGTGACCACAATATGTTCGAATTACACTGCATTTTTTCGACTTTGCGTGCTTCTCAATGACATTTCCGTATTCTCGGAATAATCCACCTGGCTTCACCAGCTTGATTGCCAAATCTAAGGATTCTCGTGCGGCCTCTACCACTCGGACGGCGTCTGGATTTGCTTTTGCTTTATCTCCGATATAATATGTTTCGTTTAGATCTCCGTGGAAACCTCCGTGGTATAAAGTTACATCGATGTTGAGAATATCACCGTCTACTAATACTCGTTGATCGGGGATACCGTGACAGATGACCTCGTTTACTGACGTGCAAACGGACTTTGGAAAGTTGCTGTAGTTGAGCGGCGATGGATAGGACTGTGTTCATTAGTATGTAAGCCTCGAATAATGTACTGGCAAGCCTACATCTCTCTCCACGCAGGCCTTGTGGACGATCTCGTCAATATAATCCGTGGTCACACCTGGCACAGCTGCTCTTGCAGCAATATCCAAGACTTCTCTTGCCAACCGGCAAACCTTTCGCATACCTTCTCGTTTCTTCTCGTCCAGGATCTCAATCTTCGTTCGCCCAACAAATGTCATCTCACTATGTGGAACGCCATCCTTCCAGTACTCGGGATATGGTATCAATTTGGGAACCACCCGTCTTTCGGACAGAGGGTAGACAGGCCGTAAGGCGCCCGTGTATGGGAAGGTCGGGAAGGGATTGTAAGTGCCGGTATCTGGGTCAGGTTTAGAAACAACGTTGGGGGTAAAAATATTGCTGAGGAAGCTACTTTGGGATTTATGCGCGGCCTTGTGTGTCGACTGCAAAAGGTTAGTGGGGGTTCTTGGGTCTCGCGCAGATGGATATGGGTATGGCGACAGCAAGGGCGACGCAAAATTGGGACGTCGACGTACCCAATTTTTCTTGAAGCAGTCTTGGGAACAAAAATAGCTCTCCTTCATCCCCAGCTTCAGACAGGTCGGGCATTGCAAGGTGCCCGCATCATTGTCGCAATCGCTACCAGAACATTTCCTCTTCGCAGGAGGCGTCTCAGTCATGGTGGACGTGTGGATGGTCTGGGGATGTGTTGTGTCTGTCGATTAGGGGAGGGAGAATGGAGGATGGAGGAGAAAGCAGGGAGTTCCAGGCGAGGCTGTGATAGAAGGTTGGAGGTTAATTCCCAAGTAGCACTTTTATAGTGCAGACGCAGCCTTGCAATTTTTGGTGTTTGGTGGGGTGAATTTGAACCCTCGAAGGGCGTACCCGTACCATGATTTGCGGGTCGCCTTGCCGCGAAACTAATCCGAATTTGTATCAACTAAGGGAGTGTGCATTTATCATCAAAAAGTGCCGACCGGCCCGAAGCGGCTTGGTTTGGTTTGCTAAGAGGAAAGACTCCATTCAGAAGAACTCTTTTTCGTCATTTTTCATATTACAAATAATCTTTATTTTTACCTCAACCTTTTGGATTCGCTTCCGTATTGCGTTATGGCTCAAGCAAACAAAAGACAGAAGACGGTTGTCATTGGTGCTGGTCCCGTTGGAACCCTGGCAGCTCTATATGCAGCACAACGAGGTCACGAAGTTGAGATCTACGAGTTGAGAAGTGGTATGTCGCATGACACAACTTTGCCTTCGACTTTGGTCTACTTTTTCGTCTTCGCAATCCTTCTCCTAGTTACACTAGTACTTCTTTACTTTAGAGCTCTTTCACCCATTTTCCAAGTCGTCACCAAAGTTACGTAAAGTGACGACGGTTCATCTACGGACGAACGGCTTGTGAGAAAGACAACGCGAGAGTTCTCTGAAGATATTTTGAAGAGAAATCGAGCTTTCGAAATACTTGGCAAACCTTCACAATTCAATGTCATTCTCCTTCAACAAATACAATCCAATGACCATCTTTGTTATTCCCTTGACAAATATCACAAATGCATTTCCTTGCACAAATAGCCTTCTAATGATTCATCATCTAACCAACCGCAGACCTTCGAGATCCCAGCACCATTCCACTCAACTTCACAAAATCTATCAACTTGGCTCTCTCAGAACGTGGTATCAATGCTATGCGACAATCTGACAGACCGGATCTTCTAAACAGAATTTTCAGCGAAACTATTCCTGTCTATGGTCGCATGATCCATGGCAAGAAGGATTCGGGAGTATTATACCAACAGTCACAGGCGTATGATATCCATGGAAGGGTGATTGTCTTCATTTTCAGCCAAGGATGACTGTTGACAATATTGCAGGCTATTTACGCCGTCGACCGAGGTGGGCTAAATGCTGCTCTCCTCGACGAGCTCGACACCATGCCCAACGTCAAAGTGATTTTCAATCATAAGCTGACTGGGGCTGATTTCAAAAAGCATAAAGCTTGGTTTGAAGTTATTGGTAGCACGACAACTCCCAATACCGGTCGTAACCGAGAAATCGAGATTGATTTCGACCTTATGATTGGTGCGGATGGAGCTCATTCTGCAGCAAGATATCACATGATGAAATACTCCAGGATGGATTACCAGCAAGAGTATATCGATACGCTGTGGTGTGAATTTCAAATCCCGGCTCGAACGGTTCTGAAGGGCGAAAAAGAAGACTCTAAATTTTCGATATCGCCGAATCATCTTCATATCTGGCCTGGAAAAGACTTCATGTTCATTGCTATACCAAGCTCGGTGAGTAAGCTGCTTAATTGAAAAATGACTTACTAACACAATTACAGGACGGCTCCTTTACCTGCACACTATTCATGCCCTCTGCAAATTTCGATGGACTGGAAGCAGATCCCACCCAAGTCCCTAAATTCTTTGATGAGAACTTCCCAGGTGTAACCACTCTCATCGCACCAGCAAATCTGATATCATCATTCAACGAGAATCCACATTTACCACTCATCAACATCAAATGCCAACCCCATCACTACACAGATTCCATAGTGATTGTTGGTGATGCAGCTCATGCCATGGTTCCCTTTTATGGACAAGGAATGAATGCTGGGCTCGAAGACATCCGCATTCTTTTCTCGTTCCTTGACAAACACCCATCACGTCGGCAGGCTCTTGACGAGTACTCCGAGTATAGAAAAGCAGATGCGCATGTTGTTAACGACCTCGCTCTCGAGAATTACGTTGAAATGAGAGCCTCGGTGGTATCTCCACTGTATGCCGCTCGTAAATGGCTGGAGGAAACATTGAGTGTTCATGTCCCGAGCTTAGGATGGCAAACCAAGTATGCGCGAGTGAGTTTTGGCAATGAGCGATATAGCGAGGTGATCAGAAAGAGTGAGCGACAAGGGAAATTGATCGTCATTGGATTGGTTGGGTTGCTATCTAGTCCGTTCGTTTTGGGTGCTGGAGTGGCGTTGTATCGAACGAGGGGATTTTTTCGGTCGAAGTGGTTGAGCACTTGATTTTAGGTTAGCGATGTGCATTGGAATGGCCGGCGTTGGATTTGGGGTTGTATAAAGAAGGTTAGTCGGCTTGACAGGTCACGTGGAGTCAACATTAGTTTTGCAGGTGTCGATTCCTTCCCAAAACAGCCACCAGAAAACGCCCCAATTTTGACTTCATCTCATCTCTTCCTATCCCTTTTTTCTCTCTCGACGTCTCGTTTTTATCCTCTTGTATATATTGGTATCAGGCCATCGAGAAAGGTCCATCCTTGGCGTACGCCATTTAACTCGAGGGGATCCACTTCTCCCAAAACTTAGCTGAGGCTCTACTCGGTACTCGAGCATCGGTACTCGAGTACACAGATGAGAGCCTGGACCGAGCGATCCAGTTTGCCAGCTGTCAAATGACTTCCAGATGGACAAATCCGACGTTGTTCGTGTTCCATCACCACTCTACTTTACCATCAAGTGACTTTAGCCCAGCCACAGAGCATTCTCCTCTCTTCTCACAACATCGACGCTCGAAATGTTGCAAGCAGTGCATCTTCCATCTGCGTCTCCTAGGAGCATCCCATCCCGATGGACGAGACCTGGTTGGGGCTTGTATCAATCGCCCCAGCTCTATCTCTAGTGGAGTCAGGCTCGTCCAGGTCTGCCCAGCGAAAGGGCGTTGTGGAAAAAAGGGTACCTGCGGTTGGCAAGCTAAACAGGATTGATACCTGTATCCATGCTAGCCATGCTCCCAAATGGGCAATGTACCAAGGCCGTCGCCGAGAACCTTCACATTCCATCCAACACCGTACGAGTACCACTGTGAACGTGGTCAGGCTCGACTGTTTATACTTCGAAGTACAGAGTAGAGCAGAGCAGAGCAGTGTATTGGGCGCCAGTGCACTGCCTGACTGCTCCCCCATGTTTGCTGGCTCGCATCCCAAGGCGAAGGACCCCGCCGTCGCCTGTGTTGATGGTTCGCCTGTACAAGTAAACTTTACGGGCCTGTCTCTCGATATTATTCTGTGTTGACTCGCGTTAAGGTTGGTCTTTACTTTCACCACTCTTTCATCGCAATCCCAACCCTCCATTTCTGCTTCGGGAGGAGCCAGCGTCCTGAGCTGCAGAGGTAAACCATCACTTCCATTCAACCTCTGGTCTCGACTCCCTTTTTCTCCCTTCGTTGTGATTCTATTTCCTCGGCTCCACTGTGGCCGGTTGTGTTGCTCAGAAACACCAACTGGCTGTGCTGTGCTGTACTGTACTGTGCTCTGCTAGCGGGGGAACAGGCACGACAGTCTTGCTTGCAAAAATGAGTGACACTGCGAGGAGAGGAAGCACCTGCGAAACGACACCGGACGAGCGATCGAAAGGCGAACCTCAAGTCATCACCAAAACGGTCGACCCTCCTCATCGCCCAACTTCAAGAAATGCCGGACTCGATGCCATCAGGCTGGTCGAATACCTGACGGCGATGAACGACCGATATTCGTGCTCGATTTGAAAAGCCCGGCCATTGCAGCAACTACGAGAACGATTCCAGTCTACCAGAATGCGAGTCTGCAGATGTTGGACAGAGTAGGAGTGGCAGTCTCTCAAGGTACCGGAGCGGAGGCGCATAAAAGTTCAGTTGCGGATTCGACACAAACACGGCTTCTGCTAGATTGGGCTACCTCAAAGCCAGAACTGGTAAACTAGCCAGCGTCAATACATTGGGGCTTTCGATGGACGGCAAGAACGGTCAGAAATAGATGGAGGGTGGTGGTTGGGGAAGTGGGAAGTTTTCCGGAAGATGTCACACCACCACCTCTATTGATATCAATGTCCGGGAGCCATCGTGGCCGGCATGGTCAGAAGTCAAAACTCGCGGATCGAATCAAGACAACACCAAGGGCTAGCCCTCCCGCACCTGATAAAACCCTGGGGAAAGAGTTGGCGGCATTTAGGTTGGTTCGGGAGGACTCAGCGACTTTTGGAACACAATCACCCCGGGATGTAGTCCACGGTAAAGATGTCGACGGCCACGCTCCTCGCAATAGTTCAGATGCTCTCAGTGAATAAGATGTCACTCGCCCCCGCGCAGGTACGAAGGTCTCAAGTCACATTGCATTCTTTCAAGCATACGATTGGGCCTCAACTGAATTGGGACCAATCAGTTCCTGGTCACTGGAACTAAGGAAGATGTGCAATATGGTTATGTTCGATCCGCGTGCAGCAGCATTGTACTGGGGGCCAAATAAGACTATGATGTACAACGAGAGTTATATACATGTTGCGGGACTGAAGCCTCCACATTGTATGCGAAAGATATTTACCGAAGCCTGGCCAGAAATTGCAGATGATTTTGAGGAGCCTTTTGCAAAAGCACTTGCAGATGGCGACTCATTCATTATTGACGATGCGAAATTTCTAATCAATCGGTACGGGTACCTAGAAGAGACTTACTACTCGGTCTCTATAATACCACTTCAGGGCCAAATTGCTTTGTACGTTTTCTGCCAAGTCATAAAAACCAAGACTAAACCACTGACACTTCCGATAATTAGCTATAACCCCGTGATGGATACTACGCGACAGGTGATAACTGACAGAAGGATGGCTTTCTTGCTTCTTTTGACTCAATATATATCCGCTTCACATTCCCCTCAGGATTTTTGGTACCAATTGATTCGATGTTTACAGATCGATCACATAGATCTACCATTTGCTCTTGTGTATTCTGCTGGTTGCGAAATTAATGACACCATGTCCGAATCTTCTGAACAGAGCCAGGCAATGAAGAACTGGGTCCTGGAAGGTTTGATTCGAATTGACAAAGAAGGCGAAGAACCTGAAAAAGAAACCGATCAGGGGGATAGCGAAAGTCAAGTAGCAACCCCTGGGAACAATGCACCACAAGCGCCCTTGCATCCAAAAATGACAAACAAAGTACGGCCTGTATTTACTGTAGAAATGTTGGAAGATGCCTTGCCAAATTTTACGGATCTAGTGCGCGCTGATTCACCAACCCTTCTCTCAGTTTCGGATGGCACTTTTCCACGAACTTTAGCCGATCATGTCAACAGGCCTGAAAATGTTGCACAATACAAGTACGCTGTGTTTTTACCTATCAAGTCAGGAGATTCACCGTTGGGCTTTTTGATTCTAGGGGTTAATCCTTGGAAAGATTACGATGAGGATTATAAAGGCTTCATTCAGCTATTGAGTGGACAATTGGCTTCGAGTATGGCTGTAAGTGTCCTGCGTTGTGCAACTCCAGGCGAGCTGGGATAGTCTTTTCCATATGTTTGTATGTTGGAAAAGCTAATCAATGGTGTGGTTAGGCCGCTTTATTGTTTGAGGATGAGATTCGAAGGGGAAACATGGTAGCTGAGCAAGCAAATCGTGACAGATATCATCTTTCTACAAAGCTGGCCATCCAGACGCAAGAGGCTTCTCAGACGGAAAACAGATTTCGAAGTAAGTTTTCTTGGGTTCCACTGGCGGTTATTTGTCTGTAAATTTACTTGTTGGCTTTCATTCTTATTGAAAGGTTGGGCGTTTTGAGAGCTGACAATCAAATCTAGATATGGCGGACTTATCCCCAGCTGGCCAGTTTCATATTAGCCCTACGGGTGTCCTGATTTATGCTAACAATGAATACTATAGATTTGTATTATCTTGTCATCTTCCATTGCCGTATTTCAAATTCTAATCTCATGTCATCTAGACTTACAGGACATCCTCGCGATGCCACCCATTCAATGGTAAGGATTTTCTGCTTGCCTCTCGTTTGAAGTCTTGCTAAATGAAATGCTAGAGCTGGCTTGATCCCCTTCATGAGGATGACTACGAATTAATGAACCAGCACTGGGCAAAACTTCTTAATGGGGAACCAACATCCTTAGAGCTTCGATTGAAATATCCATTTGTGACTAAAGAAGAAGTTGGAGGGGTAGAGGTTCAAGGCCATACCTGGATTCTTGCTTCTGCTTATGCGGAGAAGAACACTCGTGGTGAAGTAGTAGGGATTTTGGGCTGTCTTACTGATATTAGCAGGCAAAAATGGGCGGAGCAGTTCCAGAATAAGAAGATGCTAGAGGCTGTTGAGATGAAAAAACAACAGGAGAATTTCATCGACATGACTTCACAGTAAGTCTTGCTCGGATAAATACTTGAGCTTCGGTTTGCTAACAATGACAGTGAAATGAGGAACCCATTATTCGCTATCATTCAATGCGCAGACTGGATCTGCAATTTATCTCAATATGATACTGGAGCCAACGATGTCACTATCCTTCGTGAAGCTATCGAGTCCTATGCCGATGCCGCACAAACTATTCTCTTGTGTGCACAACATCAAAAGCGAATTATCGACGATATTTTGACTCTCTCAAAACTCGACTCAGACTTATTAATCATCACGCCTGTTGAAGTACAACCTTTGGTGGTAATCCAAAACGCTGTCAGAATGTTTGATGGGGAGCTTCAGAAATGTGACGTGGAACTCCGAGTTCGTGTCGAAGACTGATATCGAGAATTGGCCGTTGACTGCGTTACCCTTGACCCAAGTAGATTACTACAGGTCTTCATCAATCTCATCACAAACGCCATCAAGTTCACTCAAAGTGAAAATGAGAGAAAGATTCAGGTTTTCCTTGGAGCATCAATCAGTCGGCCTGAAAGCATTGAAGGTGGACTTGAGTATCTGGGCGTTCGACCGCGGGCAGGCAGTGTCAGACATCACTCGTCTGAACGACTAGATCCCAATACTATGACGGTTGAAAAAGAAGAAGTAGTAATATCCAATGAAAGTCCCGAGGAATGGGTCTACATCATCGTCAAAGTGCAAGACACCGGACGCGGCCTGGATGAAGACGAAAAGAAGCGTCTCTTTAAACGCTTCTCTCAGGCTTCGGTTAGAACTCATGTGCAATACGGTGGTAATGGACTAGGTCTCTTCATCTCACGACGACTCACCGAGTTACAAGGTGGACAGATAGGTGTGGAATCTACCTCTGGTGTTGGGTCCACGTTTGCCTTTTATGTCCATGCTAGACGGTGTGTTGCGCCGCCTCTTAGTAGGGCCGGCACGCCGGTGGATCTCAGAGCGCAGACGAGGTTGATTCCTCCAAGCGCTTTGGAGAAGATCTCTAATGGTCCGGGTTTACCGCGAACGGAAAGGAATGAACAGGAACAGGAGGGATTTGGAGGGAATGGGCCGGTGGTGCGGAAACATGTTCTGGTCGTAGAGGATAACATCGTGAACCAGAAGGTCTTAAGTAAACAACTCGAGAGCGCCGGGTGTATAGTCAGCGTCGCAAACCACGGCCTCGAAGCCCTTGAATTCCTGGAAGCATCCACCTTCTGGTCCTCACCCTCGAACTCCCTCCCCGAGAAAGCTCGACATCATCCTCATGGACCTCGAGATGCCGTCATGGATGGCCTCACCTGCGTCAAACGCATCCGGGAACTCCAGGCTGAAGGCCGCATCGCGGGACATGTCCCGGTCATTGCGGTCACGGCGAATGCGAGATCGGAGCAGATTGCTAATGCGCGACAGCAGGGGATGGATTTGGTTGTTACAAAACCCTTTGGGATTCCGGAGTTGATGAGGGGGATGGAGGGGAGGCTTGGGGAGGTGGAACGGCCGGGGGTGGTGGAGAGGAAGAGTGTTTAGGTGTTTAGGTTGTTGGGTTTGGTGGGGGTTGATGGGGGGCTTCGGAGGTGGGAGGGGGGAGGGAATGGAGGACGTGGTCTCTGATCATGGCTTCAAATCAAATGGGGGATTCAGTGTCCCGCCGCGATGCGGTGTTTCTTATGCATTGGAGGCGTTTTTCAGGGCTAATTAGCAAAAGGGGCGGCGTGAAGAGGGTCGTATTTTGCAAAAGTGGGTGATGCATTGGATGGAGTTTCCTTTCTCTTGTATTTCGTGGTTTTTCTTGGTTTTTCTTGGTTTTTCTTTGTCTGCCTATTTACTGTAAGAAGATTTTTAGAGAGATACCCCGAAATTCAACCTTTTGGCTTTGAGCTTTTTTTTTTCGGGGGGTTTTATATAAGGGGTTGGTTGAGAGCGTGAGGGGAGGGGGTGAGGAGTTTGTTGGAACTTGGATGGAAGTTGTAGGACTGTGTAGGTAGTGACTGGTGAGGTTGTTTGGATGAGATGAGAAGTCTGGTTTTTGCTTTAAGGGGATTTCGAAATTCGAAAGTCTAGCCCGCTCGCTATTCCTGTTTCGAGGACGGCTACTCGTAGACGAGTAGGAAATAGCTTTACCTGGGTCTTGGGGGGGGTTCGTGGATTGCGTTGACTGGTAGGGATACGGTTATGGCGTGCAGCGTGCTGTGGAAATATGTACTTTGTATGTTTAGGAAATTCTGAGGGGTTGGTGGGGTGGGTGGTTTGGGTTGAGTTTAGTAGAGGTATGTGTTTGTTGGTTTGAGGGGTGGATGGGGGGTTGTGAAGGGTATGTGTGGCGTAGTGATAAAGAAGGTTATTGTTGGATAGGGCTTGGTGTTGATTTTGTAAAGGGAAGAGAAATTTGATATATGGATCCTTCAAGGTTAGATTGTGAAGATTTTTGGTGAGATAGGAAAGCTGGGGGTGTTATTTAGTTCTTGGGAAGGGAGTCGAAGGGAGTAAAGGAAACGTCTTTTTAGACAGCTAATTCTCTTTTGGGGATCCGAGGGGCGAGGAATAGATCACCATCGAGACTAGAGGA